CATTACAAATAAATAACATATCGTTCCCTACTTGACTTTGTAGCTCAGAAGTTAGAGCGTTGTTCTAGAAATGCAAAGGTCGCGGGTTCGATTCCCAACCGTGGTCAAGTAGAATTAATTTTCTGCTTGCCCGGCTCATACTCCTAAAGCTTCAAATTGAAAATAAATTTTATTAAACTTCAAATAAGTAAATAAATACATAAAGTAAAGATACGTTTCGGGGCACAGCCCCTTCGTCAGAAACGAGATAAGTTCAAATCCATGTCCTTAAATACTTTCGGCCCCAATCCTAATTAACATGCACTAATAACATATATAGACTTGCATTAATATTCCCCCCTCAAATTTAATCCCATTAATCCCAGTGGTACATATGTATTCAATTTTTGAATCCAAAAACTTTCCCTCTCTGTAGGTTTATTAACATCCGCGTGATATCGATAATCTGTGCTTTAAAATCATTAAGACCCGAATGGCCCTCCTCGAAAAAATGTTCATACAAATGTTGACCACATAAACTTCTTTGGGCCCTAGAAAATCTATTAGGCGAACTCTTGTGGTTATTAAATCTAAGACGAAGTGACGTTACCGTATTACCCACGTATAATATAATATACGATACTGTTTACTACATTTTCCGCAAGTAATTAAATAAACCACCCCCAGCTGAGAGTTACAACCAAAAAGATGGTTAATGTGAAACGTGCGCCGTTGTACTATACTTTGAAAAATATCCGCTACCACGATGGAATCACAAACTTTGCACTTTTCCCCCACACATTTAACCATCCCTCTAGCTGCAACCTCAAGCTTGTGCAGTCTAGCTCGAACAAGATGGTCTTTAAGGTTTTTGGATTTCCTAAAACACACTATATAGGTGGCTGTGGCATGACACATAGGAACTTGCTAGATAAGCCTACAATAAGCTGGCAAAAACAGTTCAATAACATTGTACCCAACCTGAAATACATACATGCAGCAACCCCTCGCATATATTTTCCAAACATTGACTTACATGAATTACTGTAGTAGAATCGATCAGCACTGAACGCAGGCTCGCGTTTTCGTCAGTGTTGTCATGACAACACGACAATTTTAATTTTTTATTCCCCGAATAACACGCCAAAAATAGTTGACAGATTATTGCTTTTAACTATATAACAATGAACTTCCGAATTATGTACTGTAGGTATGTTATTTTGCATTTTGTGCATGATCTTTGATTTAATGTAAAATTTAACATGAATCACTTCGTAAAACGTTTTGAAATGTTCATTTTATAAATAACTACACTGCTTTTGTAGTCTTAAAATGCAGGTAAGTGTACTGGTTTTTTTTATAATAAAAGAAAATAAGTTCAAATCGTGGAGTGATTATTTCTGTTAGGTCTTCAAATTAATTTGCTCTCCTTTACATTTTATCTTTTTCCTTAATTTTAAATCTGGTAATTTAGGAAACATAATTACAGCTTCATTGAAAAGGAAAACACTGCTGCCAGTGCATGTTTTACGCAATAAATTAAAGCTACAAAATTCATAAACATTAAACATTCAAAGTAAACTTGCACTTGCACGATTTCCCATAGTAAATCAATTTTTCTCATTTCTTCAAACAAAAATTGCTTCAAAGCTCAGTGTGTGAAACGTGATTTTCCAAATATTAAATATATGCTTTTGAAAATTGAAATCTAGCTTATCCCACTCCTGGCAAACAGCCATATTTTTGAGATTAGTGAGGTCCACCCATGAACCATAGTCACGCGCCCGCGATACTTGATGAACTTTAGACTTCGCTAATGCTTTAGAATGGTACTGTTACTTCTTTTTAATCTTCTCGGTTTAATCTAAATCTAGCTTCCACACAGCCTTTAAATCGGTGTCTCATTTCCGCTGTTACATTCAGACCAGAATACGCATTCAGACCAGAATACGCATTCAGACCAGAATACGCATAAGAGAAATTGTCAGACAGTACCTGTTCCGGGAAAATAGAGACCTGAGCTCCAGTGTCCCATAACGCTTCCATGTCAACATCATTTACAAGACACCGAACTGAGCATTTCCGACCAACAACTTTCGCAATTGCAGCGTGTTTCTTTGGAGAAAGGTGGCTTCCAAACATTTCTGTGACCGAACTATCTTCCGACCCAGTCCTCTGAGAGTTTCATTGTGTTGATTTAGTTGATCCCTAATGGCGTTGCAAAGTATTTGGCGTTCACTCTAATGTCTTTTTGGACATGATTTTGAGAAATAATACACCAGTTTACCGGTAAAAAACAATGTTTAAGGTTAGCGTGAACTTCCTCTTGGTTACAATCGTTGCATCGGTGGGACTTACTCTGGTTTGACGCGGCTACTCCTAGTCCCTAAGGGGTAGCCTGCTCTTGTTTACTAACTTGAAATATCGGGCAGTGTGGTTCCCTCCTCCAGATTTGAAACAATGAGGACAATTAACTTGATTCTCTTCCTGGCATTTTTTACACAATGGGGGGGGGGGGGGG